TAAAAGCATTTTGGATTTTTGTCATTGATTTCTAGCTTGTCTAAATGTACAAGTTAAATCACTTTATCTAGAGGTAGTGGGTATTTGTACAAAATGCTTGCATCACAGCTCCAGGCACTTTTGGTTCATGCAGTTGTCTGTGCTGAGAAAATGGTGGCAGTGCACTTTTGAACTAAAACATCTCAAAGGTAGTCGAGGCCTTGGATAAATACAGGAGTAGGCTCTGCAGGTTTTACATATCTTTGGAAACAACAGAGTATATTAGCAGGGCACCTGTCCTGGTTGCAAATTTAGAGGGGGCACCAGAATGGTGGCCCCCCAGGGTACATGCCACAGGGGTTCATGCAACCAGTGTGTTAGGGGGTTTGCAATGAAACAATAGTAGCCTAAACCTGACACAGCAGTAGCAGCCCTGAGTCAGGATGCAGCATCCTTGGCAGCAAAAACTACAGTGTGAGTCTCCAGAGTAAGGTAAAACTCTCTCAGGACCCCCTCCTCCTTTCCTGCACAGCATGCCCCTCTTGCCCAGGGCATCTAAGTAACTAGTTATGCCTCTGACCTATGGAATCCATTGACTACTGAAATTAAGACCATTTGTTTTCTTGAAGGGTTGAGCCACTCTCTTGTACTCAGATAACTCTTAAAGGTTTTGACTCTAAGGGCATGTCCCCACATCTGGAGGCATGCAGTTGCTGTGGCAAAAATAGCAGTGGCACAAATTTGTGCTGCTGCTATTTGTTGCTGTGCACTCCACCTGGAGTCCTGGGGGCCTCCTGAGGCAGCAGCAGCGCCAGTCTGGCCACTTGGAGCCTGGGCAGCAGGCAGAGTGTGGCTCTGGCCAGCCAAGCTCTGTTCCTGGTGGCATATGCTGCTGGCGCATGCACCACACCGCTTTTTTCAGTGGTGGGTTTTCTTTGACACCGGGACCTCCAGTGCTTTGAAGCGCTGCAAACCACATGTTCTTACTCGTCTGGACACGACTTAAGAATCCAACTTAGCAAAGTTAATTATGTGCTTAAAGTTAAGCATGTGCTTAAGTGTGTTATTGAGTTGGGGTCTCTGAAGTCTGATCCTGCAGCTCTTATATGAATACTCCAGTGCAGTCATTCTGTGTGCGCACGCACGCCCCCCCCCCCCCCACCCACATACAAACATGTATGGAAAAGTAAACTTAATCAAGTAAGTGTTTGCCTTTTCCCTGTGGAGACACTGAGTGTTTGGGAATACAAAAGACTTTTGAATAGGCAGGCTCCCTGTGTTTGAATGGCATGATGTTTTGCTAATGCAAATTTAATGAGTTGGGAAAAAAATGAGAAGAGAGCCTGGGGTTAAAGCTGAAGAGTCAAAAAAGTTAGGTTTGCTGTGAACACACACTGTATGGTTTGTTTTGGGTTATGGCCATGGCTCCTGCTGAGTAAACTATTTGCTTCCGGGAAAGTTAAAAACCTTGACATTCTGTTAGCAAAAGAACACTACTTGAGAAACAGAGAGTCACTTGCATTGTTTTTAACTAGGTATTATGGTCAAAGTGATTCAAATATATTACTGTTTATATTCTGTAGGGCAATACCATCCTTAGTGGAGCTCCAGTGAAGTCAGTGGAGTTATACCAAAGAGGAATTAGCCCCGCATATTCAATCTGAACCATTATGCACAAATGAAATGACCATTGTGTGTTACAGCTAAATCCTGCCCTGTAAAGGAGGACTAGGGACAGACATTACACAGAAACCAGGTTAAGTGATCAGAAACTGGTTTAAATCTATAACACAACAGATATTCAGTGCACATAAACCAGTTTGAAAATGCCTGAAACTGGTTTGAAATAAACCTGGTTGGATGTAGTATCAGACTTAACTGATTTGGGTCAAATTGCTTTATGCAATGTCTTCCTAGACCCCTTGCTGGTTTAAGATAAACCAGACACCCCCAGCATCCTGGCATGCTCTCTGGGCTGGGTGGGGCTCTCTGCTCCACGGCAGAGGTGGCCCCTCCCTTCTGCTCCCTGGCTCCAGCTCCAGCAGAGACGTGAAGGCACAGACCATCTGCCTGGCTTCTCCCTGCTAAACAGGAATTATTCTCCCCTCCCCTCTGCCTTATGCAGACACTTCAGCATAAGCTAGCAGACCACATGCTTTTTGGAGCTAATCAACAGGTAGCGTAATGTGCTTCCTTGGACAAACTGTTTAAGAAGAGCTGTTTAAAAAGAGCTCCATTAGTTAATGGAGAGAGGCTTTGTTTTCTTAGTGGGTTGATAAAAATTGAGTTGGGGTGATAAACATTCCCTGCTGGGCTGCTTAGGAGGGGGGGAGAATAATCAGGGCATCCTGTCAGGATGCCCCCCCCAGGTCAGCCCTGTGGAAGGGAGGGAGGGCTGCTCTAGTGCCTCTCAGCTTCTAGCCTGAGCCATTGCAGGCATGTGACTGCATTTCTGGAATGAAAAGGGAATGTCTATCAACCTCCAAAATGGTTCAAGCTTTGCAGGTTAGACTAACCTGCAAAGATTGAATCAATTCAGGCTCAGGCTTTTCTGAACGTCTGCCCCTAGCCAAGGAGATGGAAAATGGATGGAGGATGACTCTTCTTTGTGAATTCCCAAAGCATACAACAGCAGGGGCATACTAACTGATAAGCTCTCCAGTGAGCTCTACTTTCCTGCTGGGCATTTAGGATTCAGTGTTTTGGAACAGCAGTGTATGGCCACTGTTATTTGTAATCCCAATTTTTTAGTCCCCCTTGGGCTATTCTATCCTGGCTTTCTCCTCGTATCTTAGCCAATTCCCAGTGCATCCCTATGCTTTACCCACTGCAATTGCAGAAGCTATAAATAGAATTTACCTTATATTCTTAAATAATTTAATTTATTAGATAAAAATAAATGTAATGTTTTATCTTGGTTTCTTCCTTGTTAACATATAAAAAATAAGTGCCTTGACACCTTATAAAATAATAGCTGCTTTGTGATTCCAGAAGGTAACCAAAGTCAATGTTTTTTATAGGGACGTGAAGTAGGG